GAGGAAGCCCTGGTCGGGCGGAGGGCCCGGGCCGCCTTCCTGCCCGGCTCTGCCTCCTTTGTAGGTCGCTAACGACCTCCGCCGAAAGCCGTCCCCGGTAGCTGGGCCTACGCTCTCCCGGCGTCTGTTGCCCGCGGCCCGAGCGCCCCCTTTCTGCCTCGGGGTCGGGTTTATCGGGTGTCGGGCTCCTCTTTAGCCGCCCCCCGGGTAATACGGAGCCTGGAGTGTTCTTGTTCCCCCGGCTTCACGATGTTGACCTTTCTGGCAGAGGTCTTGGTCCCCGTTCCCACCTATTCCGAGGTGACTAGCGCTGTGCTCTTTGGTTTAGGAAAGGTAGGATCAGCTAATCGCTCCTCTGCGTCCTACAAGGTAATCCTTGTGAGCTGAGGGCTCTGGTTGCAGCTTCCCAAATCAATCCTGGTGTGCTGGGAGCTTTCCCTATCAGGGCCTTCTGTGTCTCTGTTTTAAGCAATCTTAGCTTGGCAGGTTCACTGTGCTGCCTGCTGTGTTTCCGGAGTACAGGGGGTTATTCACCAGTTTGTTTCATGTTACTGTGTTTGCTTGGAGAAGGATGTCCTCTGTTTTTAAATGCCCTTATTTTAATTCTTCCACGCACTTCTGTTTTTTGTTGTAACTAAAAAAACCTGTAGTTTTAAATATGGATGTTTGGGGCATCACTTTGAGAAACATTTCTTCATATTAACTCTTTTTGTTATTTTCTTTTGTTTGTCTATTTGAAGAGGTTGTGCAGCTATGGTAATACTGTTCCCTGTGCACGAAGAAAAAGCTGGTGGGGTAGAGAGTAGAGCACATAGGGGCTCCCTGCACAAAACACCATTCTCCCCAGACCCTCCATTTTGTAGTGAAGGGCCCCCCGTTGTAGCCATGTCATATTTGCCTTTGAATTGTGCTAGAACCACTATCTCCTTAGCATGTAAGTTTAATGTGTTTTGATGTGAATGACACAAGGCCAATTAAAATCTCTTCTGTACCTGCATTTCCAACAATGGTAAAAGTGTTCAGGAGCCCCCAAACAACGCTGAGGTTTGCTTTGCTTTTTTAATGTCCTGCTTAAGTTTTTATGGCAGTAGCTGAATTTGCATCCAGCATGGTGCTGTTTATGCAATAAGCACAGAGACCTTTTCATTGAATGTCAGTATTTAGAAACTTCTGTATGAATAACAATGCATAAAATAAAATAAAATAAAATGTATAAAGGTATAGTGATAACTTTAAAAAAATGCACAAATGACTATAAAAAACCAGATTGCCTTTTTATACATAACATTATATACAAGTAGATGCACTTACTAGCTTTTCTGTGGTGGTTATTATGTGACTACTTCAGGCAAAAATGACTTATTTTTGTAACTTACCCTGTCATGATCCCTGAGGTTGTATGGCATTATCCCAAGGACAGAAATCTTCCGTGATAGGATGCTGCTCTGTGTGCCCATATGGGCATTTATAATGCACACACTTACTATTAGACTGATACCTTGTTTTGTGATAGATTAAACACATCAAGGACCTGCTGGTGGGAAAGTAGAGCTTTAATAATGCACTGGGCTGGCAGTTTATGCAATATGCTAAGCCTCAAGGTAAACTGAAGAAGCTTAACATTCTATGAACGTGAAAATTGAGAGTCGCCCTTTCAAGCACTCCCAGCACGTTTGTTACCTGACTTGCAGGAGAAATGTCACAGTGCTGCATTAAAAGGCTGAGGGTCAGGAAAACAGTTCAGTTGCAGTTTTGCCGTCCTGACTGCAAAATGCAGTTGATCGTACTTTACCTCGACTGGAGAACTACCCACATCAGTTAAATTATGCATATTCTTAAATATTTGCAGGGACATGCACTTTGTGATAATTAGTGCCGTGTCCTCTGTGTGGGAGTGTAGCTGAGAATATAGGGTGTTGCGCATGGATTGGGAGGCTTAGGTTCAGTCACTGGCTCTGTTGATAGGTGCTCAACACTACCTCAGAACTTGTTGTTTAAGCAAATCTATCCCATCTTAGTCCGAAACAAATTTAATTTTGAAACATTGGTTTTCAGAAGTGATTGTCATTTTTATTATTTTTATTATTGCTACTACTCTCTAGGTTATCCTACTTTTTTAATGGTATTTTACATGTATTACATAGTTTTATGTTTGAATGAAAAGATGTAGGTTTTAGTAGAGCAATAGTGAACTACAAGATTAGAGTAATAAAAGTTTCAAATGACTTTTAACAAGCAACCAACAGTTTGGGTCTGTTGAACTGAAAAGTGGACTTGATAAATTTCTATTGTTTTAGTCATTGTTTAAGTGGGAAAGTATTGTTGTGGCTTTTTTCTGAGTTGATTAATCGTACTGATATTGACATTTTTATTATTGTGAACATGCAAGTGTTTTGATTGTAATTTATGAAGCACTCAGCTGAGACTGGATGAACTAATCTCACAGCTTGTTGGTACTGGAAGGGAAGGCTTCTGCCTTGTCTTCCTTCACCAGGGCTCTGCACTCTGGTGCTTATCTGACCTTCTGGTAAGCTGCTTCAACTCGCAAAGTTGACAGATTTGTTTTTTGACCAGTTTTCTGCCAGGTTTGTCAGCTTATGTAACCGATTTAACTGACATGAGGGCTGGAACTGTGTGGCCAAGAAGGGAGGTATCGGTGAATGTGTCTGTTTCTGCAGCAGCAAACCCTTAAATCAGCTCAGCACCTTCAGAAAAGGTCACATCCTCCTCTGGAGGTACAATACCTCTATGAAAGAACATAAGCACAATTATTAATTTAGATCTAAAGAGTAATACCGCCATCTTATTTTCTACCATGTCTACCAAGTCGACTTGCACAAAAAGAAAATTTTTGCCTTTTTTTTTTTTTTCAGTGTAGTAATTCAGGAGGCTTTAATTACAAGTATAACACAAATTGTTTTACAGACTGATCTGAAGTAGGGTTTCCTGTTACATTGATAGAACAGATTTGTGTCTTTAATGTGAAGCTGATAGTACTATTTTGGTATTACTGGAAAAGGAATTGGAAGAGGTTAAAACTTATTTTGTATTAAGATGTATTGAAGTGAACTCTTCGGTCCAAGCAGATATGGTTGTTGCTCATGTAGCCTGGTTAGTGATATCACCTTATGACGCAGGGGTCAAAGTGTACGTCTCAGTAGGTAATTTTTTTGCAATCAGATGTTTCACTTTGCTGTTATTTATATACAGAGCTTAGAAATGAGTGCTTATAGGGTAACTTATTTATGTAGGAGGAATAATTAAAATTTAATAAAATTTGTCTTAGATCAAATTGATACACTCTTTGGGGACAGCTGGAAAAATATTGCGCTTTTTAAAAAAAAGAAGGTACTTTTCAATAAAAGTAAAACAAATTACCTATTCCCCTATTTTGCTTCTGTTGTTTTCAAATCTATTGCATTCTCTTCAGTAGCATTTAGAACATCTTAACCATACCATTGCCTTTTGCTGAGCTTGCATCTTTCTGCTGATTACATTATATGTGAATCCGCTCCTTTCCCAGTTGTCTTTAAAGGGTGCATAGACCTTGTATTTGCTAATTATAATCCTTTGATTGCTGGAATAGCTGTTTAGTCCTGCTAGAGCAGTAATAATCTGTATAGGACACAAATAGAATGAGTAGTGGATTGCTAAAGAATCCTTTTTTACTGTTTATTTTTCATGATAAGCCTCCTCAATAGTTGTACATTCCTGCTTTATTTGAGAACACGTAAAAATCACTCGCACAGGAAACCGTATTCTTGCCATCTTGTGTAGGAATACAGTGCAGCTCTGATACTGTCTTCAGTTTCTGCACATGGCATTTTCTTTTTGGTCAGAAATATGTGAAACTGTTGGTTGAAGATTTGCAAGTGTGAAGTAAGTTTTTAAGGTATTAATTGTTGCGTGTTATAGGTAAATCACTACTTTTTTTTTAAATACTGTTGCTTTTAAATGTGAAACTGCTTTTGAAGGCTCATGCTGGGGTAACAGTAGTGGTAGCAGAGAGGGAGAGTCCTTGTAGCTTGGAAGCATGTCCATTTCTAAGCTGTCAGTGTAGTGGAGAAGCCTGCTCTTTGTTTATAGCATACAGAACTGTTATTTAATGGAACAGTCTGTACAGTATTTAGTGTACTTTTTACATATGGCTAATTTGGCTGAGGGGACCTCAGGAGGGACTAAAGACAATGTAACATGACAGGTCTTTGTATCCTATAGTGGATTCTCTTAGTGACTGGAATAGGTAGAATTCTGTTTTACCTTTGATAAAACATTGCATCAGGAAATAATGCACATAGTTTAATGTTAAAAATTTACAGGCCAGAGTTTGAAAATGATCATAGTATTTCTAAGAGGAGCATTTCCTTGTTGGTTAATAACAGTAGGTTAATGCTAGCGCTTCCATGCTCCTTTCACATACTGAAATTGCCTAGTGTTCTCACTTTTCTGTGTGTAAGCATGTGCAATGTTAGGAAGACTACTTTTTAAAGTATATGAATTATATATGTGTGAGATCTATTGGGACTCTTGTATTTCTTTGCTGTGTAACTTCTGTGAATTCGTACTTACTCAATGAAAATTAAAATGTAGTTGTGTAGCCATTTAAACTGTCCAAATTTAAAATTATTTCAGCCAGAATAACAAAAGAGAGCCCCAAAGCATTTGTGTGTGTGTACTAATATCTACCTATTTTGGGGTTTTTTCATTTTTTTTATATTTCTTTTATTGCAGTGTGCAACTATGTCGTGCTCTCAGCGAAAACAGAAACCTTGATAATATGGGTTTCAGAGGTAAGTTGTTTCTTTTTTTGTTTGTCTTTAAATAAAAAAAAAAGCCTGGAAACAGTTGATGATGGTACCTCTGCATGTATCTGCTTGGAACTTTCATATATGGTGAGCATGAATGCGTGCTAAAGGTGAATGCTGCAAGTAGTAGGGCAATAAAAACATGTACAAGTAGGTTTGTCTTCAGATGTCCAGGTGAGAGATTTCTTAGACAGTAGTAAGTGGTGATGGGGTATTTGGTCTGTGCCATAGAAAATGGAATTCCCTTTTGCAAACTCAACATCCAGCTAGATTTTATTCTAAAAGATAAATATATGGACACTAATATATGCAAGTGCAGTTGTGTGTTGCAGAAAGTAATTTTTACAACAGTACCTGAGTTACACATGTTTTCTCCCTTGTTAGTGAAAGCCATTGCTTGTCTTTAAGTTTTAAATTCTTACTTTAAGAAATCTTTGGTGTTTAAATAAAAGTTAAAATATGTGTTTGCTTTGCAGAATCTGTTGGAAGAAAAGCTTCCATATTACTAAGACCACGAATGTGCTATGCTGTTTATATGGTGTTTTGGATTCTTGCTAAAATAGTCATAATGGGTGACTGTAATAGCAGAAAAGATAAACCAAAATGTTTCACTGTAAATTATAAGTAATAGCAGAAAAGATAAACCAAAATGTTTTAATGTAAATTATAAGTAATATTATCAAGTAATAAGAATTTGTTTTTCAACAAAGTAAAATCACTATTCTCAAAGCATTTGAAGGAAGGCCACCACATGTTCTCTGTTCTAGACAGAGGCTGACAATTTCTATAGGGTGTTTTCTTTGTCCTTGCTGTCAGGATCTAAAAGATCCAGTGGGAATGACAAGATAGATCAATGCAGTGGCTATATTGGAGGAATTAGGAGTCAGTAGAAATAGTTGAAGTCCTTTTGGTGATGGAAAAACTGCTGAAAATATGGGTAATCTGGGGTAAGGTATAGAGATGCTGACAACTGAGTATTTGAGTCCATGTGACCTGGATTCAGTTCTGAAATCTCCACTGGCACTTGCATTTCTGTCTTTTAGTTCCAGAAGGAGGTTTTATGAAGTCAGTGTACCACAAGCTTAGGGAGACAGATCATTACCTAATATGTTCCTTAATCATCTGTTTTCTTTCAACAGATATCCAGCAAGCTTTGTATGAGCTTGCATACCATGTTGTCAGAGGAAACTTAAAGCATGATCAAGCTTCTAATGTTCTTGGTGATGTCATAGTAAGTATATATTTGTAATAATTGCATAGTTACTAAATTTTTAGTTTGTTGCAAAAGTCCGAATGAAAATCAAGCAGGGTAATATTCAACAGACTTCTTGTCACGTCCTTTTTCTTCATTTGTGGACACTTGAAATATATATGTAGTCTGCCAGGGGTTTTTTTTTTTGTCCCTACTCTTTGTAATGAGAAATAGATAAATTCATTTTAGCATAAATTAAAAAGTAAATTTTTTTTTTAGAGCATATGAAGACTGAAGTTTTTAATAAATGCTAAAACCAGATTTCACTTGCTTATGCAGCATGTCTGTAATGCCACCTACTGGTTTTTATGATTTAAATCTTTCTTAAAATGTAACAATGTGTGCGTGTCTGCCATTTTACTACTGAGATCTCCATGTCCCTTTAAAATAATGCATTAGATTTATTTTTTGTTTGAAAAAAGTTTTTTTTCTTAAAATACTTTGAATAAAGAGAGAAAGCAGGGAAATAATATTTTCCTTTAAACTTCTAAGGTTACCAAAAGTTGATGCTCCTAAAAAAAAAAAACCCCGCCCAAAAAACCTATCAAAAAATAAAAAACAAAACCAAAAAACACCAAAACACTGGGAGTGGGGAAATTAAAAATCTTCTAAAAATTATTTCTTATTCTTTGTACATTCTTTGATTGCAGTTTTGAAATGTATAGAACATTAAAAAATACATTTTGCAGTAATCTATTCTAGGACAACCTTTTTAGGTTTTTAAAGTTCTGCAGTGGGTTTGAGAGAAGTCAAGGTAGGGGTAGCATGTGATAATGTTTGATCTGTAGTTACTGTAGGAAATTGTAGTCTGTTTGGTGCACAGGCTGGTGCTGCTCTTCAGACAGGGAGTTCCCTTGTGCTAGAGAAACAGGCGGTTACCAGAGGGTTTTGTCACTGGCCGCTAGATGCTCTTTTAAATTACATTAAAATGTTATTTCATTACATATCAATAATTATTACTGCACTTGTGTTACATATTAGTCAATAATTTCACCTCTTAATTATTAAATAGTCTGAATTATTAATTATTCATATTAGTAATATTAATATGCATTATTAATTAATCTGATCTTAATTTATGATTAAGTGTTGTTTTATGTGATGGAATAAGAATTTTCTAAGTGTACATACTGGAATGTCTGTATTCACTAAGTGTGATCTTTTACCTTTTCAGGAATTTCGGGAAGACATGCCTTCCATCCTAGCTGATGTATTCTGCATATTAGGTAAGTTGAGTTGCCTTCCTTTCAGCGTTGTGACAGATTTGGAGAAATACTTGGTTTTTGTGTTTGTTTGTTGACTTCAGGAAATTTCATTAAGTCTGTAAAGCATGACTTCTCTTTACAAAATATGTGTTGATTCTTCTTCAGTGTATCTGTGTCTTACTTGTTTATGTCTTTTCATTCCACTTTGTTCTGTTGTAGTTTCCAGAAGTGTACTTATTAAAAGCAGTTGAAATTGATCTGCCAAGAATAGTTGAAGGAGCTAGCTTGTAAGAATGTTGGATGTTAGCTAATGGAACCAATGACTTAGTAGTGTTATAAGTATTTTAAATAAAAGTTGACTTACTGGTAGGTAGATCATCTGTTCTCAAAATGTGTTCTGTAGGTATTTTTATCTGTGCAGTTACTGTTAGTGAAATGGAGCTTGTACTAATTGTCCGGAAATCTAAAGGCGAATGGCATCATTTGCCAAGTTACTACCTGCCAACCGAGCAGGCTTCAAAGATGGGTACTTCTTATTCTGGTAGTAACTTCTGGATTTTTCTGTTGTAATGTTGATCCAAAGCTATTTCTCTCATGTTTTTAGCATTTTAGTCCTGTATACATTTTTTCTGGATCATAGTTTTAACTGCTTGCAGTTTCTATCTTGTTCTATGTCTCTGTGGTTTTTCAAAGAATTTCAGCAACTCCTGAGGACAGTCTGCTCATCACAGATCTGGGTTGTTCTGTGTGCTGAAAGACTGTGCCATCTTCTGTGCTGTGCCCGCTTGTGCAGCGAGGCACCTAATTAGGTTTGCATATGCAGTCTCTGTTCTGTAACATCTGAATGATGAATTTTGACTTTGTTTTATTCATAATGTTTCATTCTGTCTGTGTACTTATATTGTCTTTTTGTAATAATTAGTTTTTATAATGCAATATTACATCGATACCCTTTTGTTTTTTAAGCTGCTAGAAAACTTAGATTAAATGCTTCTTGAACTACTTGAGTAACTGAAACTAGTGTATCCATCTGCCTTTTTTATTCCTTTTTTCTTTGTTTTTTTTTTCTCCTTCCCTTCAGATTGATATGTAGCCAAATGTCATGCCTCCACTACTAGCAAAGCAATAGCACAGCTAAGGAGCTAGGTTTGAATTGAAACTCTGGGACAAAGGACATGTGACAATTTCTTGCTTGTTTTTAATGAGTTTCCTTTTAACGCTTTTCTCCCCTAACCAGTATTTACTACTATCAGGATCCCTTTTTGTTTGTTTTTTCCGAATGTTGTCGTCTTATAGTTAATGCGTTTCAATATATTTTGATTTATCCACTTTATCCACTCATCCATGTTGCCTGGACTAATTTTTTCCTGCAGCTTCTTCTTTGGCTGAGAGGCTTGGCTGCTAGGGTCCAGATTGATCTGGAAAATCTGTTGCCTCCACTGCCACCCTGCTACATCAGTGGTTTTCAGTTTATTTGGGGACTTCTTTCTCAGATTGTTGTTGTTGATGTTTTCTCTGTGGGTATGTGTAGGGCTTTTGGGGGGTTTTTTGTTTGTTTTTTGTAATGTCTGCCTTGGGTTCTTCTATTGACTTTTCTATTCCTTTGCTTCCTGAAACAATGTGCTTTTTTTGAACCACTTTAGACAGGTGTGCTTCCTTGGCCATTGTTTTATGGCCTGTCTTCCCACAGGGGTGAATTCATGAATTGCATTCAGTAGTTGACAATGCAAAAGAAAAGAATAGAAACCCAGAATTGTAGCTAGTAAAAGACTGCAGACCAGGCAGTAAATGGTAGTGACTCTGAAGACATGGGGAAAGGGACTAGAACATTACACTAAGGCCAGGATCATGCAGTTCTTTCCAGTGATTAGGATTTCTCTTCTTTCATGCTTACTATTGATTCTGAATGCTTGCCATAAACCTTTTGCAACAGAGAGAAGGGCAAGAAAAATTATCATGGCCTTCCTCTGGTTTCTGTTTTACTTCTGCATGAGATTTGTGGATGTGTGAGAATTTTCATAAAAATATTATGTGGACTTTAAGGTGGATAAGTACCTGGAAAGTGTCAAGAAGCTGGCATGTTATAAACAAGCTGCTTTGCATTTATCAGAATAGTTATAAAAAGAAAAACTCTTATAAATGCCACAAGTAATTTCTTTTATCCTGTTTTTCCATCTTCTTTTATAACAGATATTGAAACTAGTTGTTTAGAAGAAAAAAGTAAGAGGGATCATTTCACCCAACTGGTATTAGCTTGTTTGGTAAGTCACACTTAGAAAGTCTTTTGATAAAAGTATATGCCAAAATTTGACAAGAAAAATCAGAGTTTTGAAGCTTGTGGTTTTGGCGGGTTTTTTGGGTGTTTTTTTTTTTTTTTTCCTTTGAGGAAAAGACTATTAGAATATTTTCACAAATTCCCAAGTAATTTAAAAATGCATCTACAAAGGGTTATAGTAGAGTAATAATACAGTGTAATTGTTCCTTAAATACTTAAGTTTTGAGAGAACCTAATTTCCCCCCCCCCCCCGACAATGTAAAAAAAATGTTTTTCATTTTATTTTTCTC